TTCCAGCTCAGTGCTATGTCAGATGTTAGAGACAGAGAACACCATGAGTCCAACCCCAGTGTTGTGACAGATGTTATAGCCAGCAGACTGTAAGTCCAACCCCAGTGTTGTGACAGATGTTATAGCCAGCAGGCCATAAGTCCAACCCCAGTGTTGTGACAGATGTTATAGCCAGCAGACTGTAAGTCCAACCCCAGTGTTGTGACAGATGTTATAACCAGCAGGCCATAAGTCCAATCCCAGTGTTGTGACAGATGTTATAGCCAGCAGGCCATAAGTCCAACCCCAGTGTTGTGACAGATGTTATAGCCAGCAGGCCATAAGTCCAACCCCAGTGTTGTGACAGATGTTATAGCCATCAGACCATAAGTCCAACCCCAGTGTTGTGACAGATGTCATAGCCATCAGACCATAAGTCCATCCCCAGTGTTGTGACAGATGTTATAGCCATCAGACCATAAGTCCATCCCCAGTGTTGTGACAGATGTTATAGCCAGCAGACCATAAGTTCAACCCCAGTGTTGTGACAGATGTTATAGCCATCAGACCGTAAGTCCATCCCCAGTGTTGTGACAGATGTCATAGCCATCAGACCATAAGTCCATCCCCAGTGTTGTGACAGATGTTATAGCCATCACGCCATAAGTCCATCCCCAGTGTTATGACAGATGTTATAGCCAGCAGACCATAAGTTCAACCCCAGTTCTAAACCAGATCTTATAGACAGCAGACCACAAGGTCACCCACCCCCAGTGCAATTCCTGCTGGGGCAGCTGGAGGAAGCAGAAAATGCCAATGTAATTTATTATGGGCTGCTAAATAAAAGAGTGTCAGACATCTTCACAAGCTGGTGGAGCTCAAAACGCGATTTAAATGGTTTCTGAATTATTTAACACACAGAGTATTGTTCCTTTAACATTTTTTGTTGTTGTCTTTTATCTTATAAGCATTTTTTTAATAGAAAAGGTTAAAAGGTTAATATAGAGAACAGTTTTTTTTAAAATTGTCTTGAATTGGTAACAGAAATTATTGACCATAGAGTTTTTTAAATTCTAATAATTTTTTTTTGCTTAGAATTTCTTTTAAGTACTGGTACTCATGTACACTTTTATTTCTACACATTTACCAATAAACTCCTAGGGGAGATTATTCAACATTAAAAAAAGAAAGAAATTGTAATGTACAGTCACACTTTCACAGTTATTTTATCTTCTTAAAGTATATTATGTGAGGAATAAAGTGTAAAATGTCTAACCACACCAGATAAGTATGTTACATATCAGAAGGAGAGGATCTGTTTAATACAGTGATTGGTGGGTTGGAGAACCATTAATTTAGAATTAGGTTATGGACTTACATTTTGTAGCTCTCGTTTTTCTGGTCAACCTTGTACACAGGAATCACAGCTAAAACTAGCTGTAAAGAAAATATTGAAATAGATAGAATTTAGTAAAAAAACAATTAGTTTGGTTTGATTTTGACAGAGCTGTATATTATATAATTGTGTATTTTTGTGTAGTTTAATACAGTGATTGGTGGGTTGGACAACCATTAATTTAGAATTAGGTTATGGACTTACATTTTGTAGCTCTCGTTTTTCTGGTCAACCTTGTACACAGGAATCACAGCTAAAACTAGCTGTAAAGAAAATATTGAAATAGATAGAATTTAGTAAAAAAACAATTAGTTTGGTTTGATTTTGACAGAGCTGTATATTATATAATTGTGTATTTTTGTGTAGTGTGTGTGTTTTTTAAAATGAAAATAATAAATTCTGCTCCAAGTAAATAGAATCAAATTTAACATAAGTAAAAATATTTAATAATTTTATCTTTTAACTAAAAGCTTAACATGGTAATATAAAAACAAAAAAAATTAATAAATTTTTTTTTCAGACATTTATTTTCTCATTGGTTTAGATTCTTTTATCCGTGACATAGCTGTGGTTAATGCCACTGTTACGGTAGGCGAATTAATTAAATATACACTAACACTTTTTGTCAATTCAAAATAACAATATATTTTTAGCTTTAATAATAATTTTACATAATACACAAGTAAACGGTTCAGCGAATGCCTTCATCAGTATGACAACAAAACATTTAAATAAGTATAAATTACATTTACATAATATATATATATATACATGTATCCTCCCTAAAATAGAGAAAAAAGAAAAGAATCGGAGCGGGCGCAAAACCGAAACAAAAAAAAAGAAGAATAGACAGGAAGTGATTTGAAGTAAAATGTAAAAAAACCAAACAGGAAAAATACATGGCTCTGACATATAAAAACTCTACAAAGCTGTAGAGTGGCAGACATAGACTCAGACCACACACTTGTAAGAATCAAATATAAACAAAGAATTTCTAACATCTACAATAAACAAAACAAAACAGAAAAACAGTACAACAGCCAGAAATTAAACAGGGACCCAAAAATTACTGAGGAATATCAACAGAAGATTGAAACTCAACTAGAATTATCCAAAAGGGAATCAGCTAGCAATGTTGATATAAACCAGCAATGTGAAAAGATGAAGCGAATAGCAAAAAGTGTAACAGAGGAAACGATTGGATAGTGAAAAGAACAGGATGGTATGATGCAGAATGCAAAGAATTTTTGTAGAACAAAGAAACAAGGCTTGGCTAATAATGCTGCAAAGGGAGACAAGAAGAACATGGCAATTATTAAATGAAACAAGAAGGGTGGCTAGCAAAATTTGCAGAAAGAAAGAAAGTGCTTGGGAAAAATAAAAAATAGCAGAGATAGAAGAGTTGGCAAAAGAAAGAGATGTGAGAGGAATGTACCTGAAGATAAAGCAGGAAAAGAATGGCTTTCAAGCAAGATCCTACATGTGTGAAAGTACCGGTGGAGAATTGATCACAGAGAGCAGTAGAGTACTAGAGAGATGGGCACAACACTTTGAAGGCTTACTGAATGGCTCAGGTGGAGGAACCAATGAGAATTACGTTAACCACAAGGAGGACCAGACCCATTGGTCAACCAACCAACACTGAATGAAATAAAAGATGTGACCTTTACCATGAAAAACAACAAAGCCCCAGGAATAGACCTTATCTCTGCAGAACTGATAAAGCTAGGTGGTAACGAACTGCAAAGGCAAATACACGACCTCATATCCAGAATCTGGCAGGATGAAGAAATGCCAATAGAATGGGACACTGCACTCATGATCCCTATTCACAAAAAAGGATCTAAGCTGGTCTGCTCAAACTACAGAGGAATCTCCTTCCTTAATGTAATGTACAAAATCCTCACAAAAATTATAGCAAACTGGAATGGTATAGTGAACAAATCCTAGGTGATTACCAATGCGGATTCTGACAGAATAGGCCAACCACGGATCATATTTTTAATATTAGATGTCTCCTGGAGAAATGTTACTAATATAACATCGATATACACCAACTGTATGTGGATTACAAACCAGTATATGATAGCGTAGACAGGAATTACTTATACAACGTTCTACAAGAACTTGGAATCCCTAACAAGCTTACTTGGCTCTTACATATGACAATGGCTAATTCCAAAAGTAGAACCAAAGTGCAGGGAGAATACTCAAGAGAGTTCCCAGTCAATCAGGGCCTCAGACAAGGAGACTCACTATCATGTATCCTGTTTAACATCACACTAGAAAAAGTTGTTGGATGCATATGCGTGAGAAACCAGTGGAATCAGCTGCTTTCAGAGAGGTATTACAGAACAACAACCATCAGGAACCTTATATAGCCAGCCATTGCAGTACCTGGCATATGCAGACGGTATAGCGCTACTGGGTAGAAACAGTAATGACATAATTAAAGCATTCAGGGAACTTGAAAATGCCTCAGTCAAGGCTGGTCTTGATATAAATGAACTGAAGACAAAATATATGATAATGTCACAAAACTCCTACACTGATGACAACATCAATATAAACAACCACAAATTTGAGAGAGTGGCTACATTCAAATATCTAGGGGCAAATATAAACGTGCACAATGAAATAATGTTGGAGGTGAAAGAAAGGATAGCAGCAGGCAACTGTTCCTATTTATTTTCAATCTACAAAAGCTACTGGGAAGCAAAAACCTCTCAAGGGGAACCAAAAAGACAATATACACTACGATCATAAGACCAGTAGTAGCTTACGCTAGTGAGACTTCGAGCCTTACCAAAAAAGCAGAGTACCTTCTCAATACATGGGAGTGGCATGGGCTGTAACGCCACTGATTATGATGATGTCGATGTTTCCAGGATTACCTTTTTTTCCCCACCTGGTCCTTAGTTGGACTTGGAAGTCTGTTTGCTACATTCCAAAATTTATTTTGATTCATTAAATCATTACAATTTTCTTAACTTTTATTTTACTTTTACTTAGTTACTTAAAGTTACTACTGAAACTAGAATTGAGTTAACACCATCGAGCCATCACCAACCGTCCAGACGACCTATGTTAGGACAATGGCCTTATACTTATTTATTATATAATAGCCTAGTAAGTAATGCCTAATACTAATAACTAATAACAATACTAATTCGTAGGACTCAAGTCAAGTCAACAGTACTAGTACTAGTACTAATACTTACCTCACTAGTAACATCTATTCTATTAGTAATATATTATGTAGCCTTTCGCCAAAAAATCATTTGAATCTACGTAAACATTTAATGTGCTTACATTAATTAATTCACTGAAATCTTTTTAGAAGGAAAAGAAATGACTTTGTAGAATTAAATCGCCGATGTTTACATCCTTCCTCTCCTTATTGAAGTTGTTTACATCTTCTGCTGCTGGAAAGTACATGCAAAAGAGTGGTTTGGAACAACAAATTGATATTGGTTTATTCATGATTTTTTTAATTTAGGTGTTTTATTTAATATAATAAAAATAATATTATAATTTAAGATTGTTGAATTTAATTATATCTTTCAGAATTTAGTCTAGTCTAGTGACTAGTCAATTTATTTTAGTTAAAGATTTAAAGCTCTTTACACTTACACACAATTCAATTGACCTTTGCCTTGGTCAAGTTTGGTTTGGCGTATTTTCATTTGTTTATTATTATTATGATTATTTCCTGTGTTATACAACAATAAATAAACTGCATGTAGTTAGTTGTTAATGGTCTGCTGATCTCCGCTAAAGGCTAACGGTTTTGTTTTTTATAGCCCGAAAGCAACGGCACAGTTTAGGTTAGCAAGGTTCCTATTATTATTAATATAAATATAGGCATAGGCGCCTACTTTGCTAACTTAATTTTCATGCCTTGCCTTGACTCACTCATATTTTCATAGTCATACTGTCATACTCATGTCATAATCTTTATTTTCATATAGACTAAACATTTTATAGTAAGTCAGTAAGTATTTACCGCATTATTTAATAAATTAATAAAGAAAGTCATTATGATTAGGCTAGTACTAGTATAAATTAAAATAATATGTCATCGTTTTATTAAAGTTTTAGGCTTGTGAGCATGACAAGCATACTTACTATTCATATCGACTACCCTATACTATAGGACAGATATGTAGTAGTTAAAGTTATGAATATAATTTATTGAGTGTAAGCCAATCAATACAGCAGAGTGATGTGAAGTGTAGTCTGTAACTGTAGGAATAGGATGACCATGCCCATGAATGAATGATTGCATGATGAACAATTAGGATTATTTAAATTAAATTTTAATACTAATACAAATATACTATAATTTATTTAATATTCATTCATCATCACTCATTTCCAGCGGCCATTTGGGACTTTACACACTCATCGCAGCTTTCTTTGATTGTGTAATGTGTGTTGGTGTAATCTGATATTTTTGGTAGATAGTTTAGGTTGAGGAAAAAGTTGGGCAAAAGGATAAGTCCTGAAGTGCTAGACAGTGGACTGAGTGAAAGAGGTGATGTGTTATTGTCAACTTTGGATGTCTGCTCTGCTGAGGAGGCACATTGACATTGGTGCTTTATCTGGTTAATGCAGTCCAGTTGGGAATTAAGTTGTCCATGACCTGTTTGTATCTTTTGAGGCAATCTATTGGATCTTTAGGGTGTGGGCTGGGCAATAGTTTGAAAACACATCTTCCTGTTGAACCCTTTTTTGTTAGCTTGATACTTTGCCTCACAGTGTTAAGTGATGTAGGTATATTTGGCTGCAGAAGCATTGCTGGGATTTGTGTCACCCAGTGCAGTTAACTCATGGTGCCCCCCTTCCGTCAAACCTGCACTGTGTAATTATTAACCAGATCATACAGAATAGCTTTTACTTATAGTATTGTTTGTACATTAAATCTTAAAGCAAAAAATAAAGACATAGAATTCGAGGAGACAGCATTTAAATTATGCATCAAAATTTCTTTTTATTTTAACCCTTTTGGGACTTTTTAGAGTGTCAAGAAGACGAAGCCTTTTTTAAAAGCTGTGCACTTACGTTGCAAAAAAATTTATAAAAAATAAAATAATTACTTTACAAATATAACACTATATATATATATATATATTCTTGTAGGGAATTGAATGAACTATATGTTTCTTTTTGTCTTCATCACCATGGTTTTACTGGTTTTGTATGGGACTTTGCTTCCCACCCAGAAGCTAGAGGCTATATACCCCATGTCTCCACACAGCATTCATGTACTGTGAATCCACATTTACCAAGTTGAAGTCTTCAGTCATGTTGTCTAGCCAGGATTCACTATTCATCATCTACTGTCTCGCGGCACTTCATTTTTCATTTTGTGATTAGGCCATTTTAGTTCTAGACAGAGGATTGTCACATAACAGGGAGGGCCAGTACAACAGGAGCAGAAGTACCTTCGTGAAGGCATCCACTCAGAAACACTGAAGTAGGAGAGGCCTTATTTGAGAGCTATCCAGAAATGCTATAGATGAGGCAGCCCTTGCTACATCTGGGCAGTCACTACCTGTAAACAGGAGAAATCTTGTCATGCGTATACTATTTTTTTATCCACCCCTTAGTATTTATTAACATCTACATGTCCAATTTTTTTAAAGTAACTTTTTTTTCCAGTGTTATAATAGCCCAATTTTGGTTCACAGTAAAGCTGTAGCGTCCACCCCTTATCCTCCCCCCCCCCTTTTTTGCTTTAATATTGAAATCACCGATTAAATGTGTAATGTTCTACCACTATCCACCCCTTCCTTGACTGGGCAAGTGCTCTTTAAGTACATATATGTTCTAAATGGAGGTAGAGCATGCTCTTGGGTGATGCAATTTCTAGAATTTTATTCTTGTGAGTTTCAACACCATCCCTATAAATAAGCCAGTGGCTTTCCCAGCCATAATAGATCTTCTAGATTTCCCCGACACAAAACATGACACCTACCATACTTACAGGAGCCCTTCAAGACTTAATATATTTTTCACTGTGTGAATTAAAATGTATATCTCTCTGGTATTATACTTTTTCACTTGCTGTGCTGTAAGTTAATATAGTTTTTATTTCTGTTTATTTGATTTTTTTTTTTTTTTTCTATGTAATAGCATAGTTAAATTGATTGTTGTTATTATTACTAGTTTTGGTATCGTTTTTCTTTTTTTATTGGTGTTTAGTTCTTTGTTACGTATTGTTNCAAATACGCTACAGTAAAGTAAAACTACATTAAAAGATTTTTAAAAAAAATTTTCACCCCCCCCCCCCCCCCCCCATGAAAAACTCTGCAGTTAGCAGAAAATGCAACCCCTCAATATATATAAAAATTAAATGTCAAGAGTAATTAACATGTGAACTTGTCAGTTTTTTTATGAATGATTTATCATGGTCAAAGATGGTGAAAACTATAAACCAATCTTCTTTCAAATATATTTAGTGTATGTGCAGTTCTTTTTTTTTGGACTTCTGATTCTCTATTGCCACAATATTTGTTTATACCACTGCAATGGCCAGTGCCATTATCAACCAATGCCACATTTCCTAAAATAATAATAATATATTTATAATTCAAGCGATAACAAACTATCTATACAATAAATCAGTGAAAATAAAAACTTCCGAAGGCCACACTTTTTGTTTGATGCCATTAGTAAAGAGGTATTTTACCTTTGATAATATTCCTTCAATGTTCACTTCTCTTTTCTAAAAAAAAAATTTTCTCAGTTACTTCTCTATATTGATATATTTTAAATGATTTTTTATTGTTTTATATTAAAAACAGAGTGAGAAATGTTTTTAACATTTTTTTTCATCATCAGCACCAATTAAAATACAGCATGTTATCTATATAATTTTTCATTTAGAAATGCTGCGTCAAGTAACAAGTCCTATTAAAATATTCCAAAGAAATATCAGCACATCATTAAGAGATGCAAAGACTAGGACACTGCTAGATAAAGTAATCCGAGTTGACCATGCAGGAGAATACGGTGCTGATAGAATTTATGCTGGACAACTTGCAGTATTGGGGAAGTCATCTGTTGGGCCCCTTATTAAGGTAGGATATTATAATGCTAAAATTATTTTAACCTGGTTTGCAACAATTTTGTAATTGGAGGACAAAAGTCGATTATTAATTGTTTTTATATGAATTATGTTTTCGAAAATGTGTGAAATGAGACTTCTACTTAGCTAACTTGATTATAGCATTGTTATTTGAATTTTAGAAAATGTGGGAAGAGGAGAAACACCACAGGGAAACTTTTGAAAAGCTAATGGCAGAAAACAGAGTTCGTCCAACAGCATTATTACCTTTCTGGAATATTGCTGGATTTGCTTTAGGTATTTTCTTATGGGCATTACTGTCTATTAAAATCTCATTCTATTTTAAAATAAAGTTTTACTAACTTTTTATGAGCTCTATCTGATCCCCAAGTTCCATATTCAAATTTGAAATATCCTGTTGTGACAAATAAATAAGTTCTTTTTATTTTTTTAGAATAAAATCCATAATTAAAAATTGGTTAAAAAAAAAATAGGATGACTCAAACTCAAATGGTTCAGTTGTATGTAATAAGGCATTAAGACAATGCTTCAAGGGCTAGGTGCTGAGCTCAGCGCTCAGCATCTGGACGATGGCCTCCGAGCACTTTTGGACGAGCACGCCCCTCCCATGGCGCGACGTGTCCCGACTGGTCGCTCGTCGCCATGGTATGCAGGCGTTAGTGACCAACTCCGTCTGGCAAAACTCGTGCGAAGACGCGCTGAAAGACGCTGGGTAAAGACTGGACTGAGTGTCGACAGACAGATCTTTTGGACGGCGAAAGATGCGGTGGCAGAGATTGTACAGAAGGCAAAGGATGACTACTGGAGCTCAAAGGTCGAATCCTGTGCATCAACCAAGGCGTTTTTCAGCGCTAGTAACCGTCTCCTGGGCAACAGCAAGAATTTCACCCTCCCTACCGACATTGCACCAGAGCAACTCCCTGACGCCTTTGCGGACTTTTTCATCACCAGGGTGCAAATGATCAGGGAGGAGCTAGACAGCGCGACCCCTACACCTTCCTCACCGTTCTCGGAGGACGTTAGTCAGACAGAATCATTTGATAGTTTTCTGCCTGTGACTGAGGATGAGGTGAGGCGAGTCATCATCAGGTCTGCTCCCAAGTCTTGTGCCCTCGATCCTATCCCCGTCCCACTGCTTGTAGAATGCCTTGACGTCCTCCTCCCAGCACTCACCTCCATCATAAATTCTTCGATTCTCTCTGGCATATTCCCTCCCATTTTTAAACGGTCGATTGTCCTGCCCCTCCTAAAGAAACCCTCACTTGATCCAAACACACTCAAGAATTACCGCCCCGTCAGCAACCTCTCCTTTCTCTCAAAAATCATAGAAAAACTCATACTCTCTCAGCTCTCTGGCTATCTTCATTCTCGCAATCTCTATCCTTCCTCTCAGTCCGCCTACCGACTTGGTCATAGCACAGAAACAGCACTGGTCCGAGTCATGAGTGACCTCCTGCGCGCGATGGACGATGGCAAACTCTCTATTCTCACTCTGTTAGATCTCTCTGCTGCATTTGATACCATTGACCACCAGATTCTTCTTGACCGCCTTCATCTTTCTTTCGGACTTACTGGCTCAGCTTTAAACTGGTTTCAATCATATCTTTCTGACAGAACTCAAAAAGTCTCTATTTCCAACCGCTCTTCCAAACCTTCAGCCCTGTCTATTGGAGTTCCTCAAGGATCGGTCCTTGGGCCGGTCCTTTTCATCCTCTACACTAAACCTCTATCATCTCTCATTAGCCACCACTCAGTTTCCAGTCAATCCTTTGCTGATGACACTCAAATCAGTGACTCTTGCTTTCCTGATCAACTTGATGCCACAATCCTTCGCATACAGGAGTGCGTGGACGATGTAAAGCGTTGGATGACTTGCAACAAACTGAAGCTAAATGATGATAAAACGGAAATCCTTCTCATCCACTCTCAAAACAAACCTCTCCCTCCATTCGCTCCTTCTTCTATATCTATTGGCAACTCTGACATCACACTCTCTCCCTCTGCCAGAAACCTTGGAGTCACGCTTACGGACACCCTCTCCATGGACAAACATGTCACGAATATATGCAGATCAGCATATAACGAAATTAGAAAAATCAGCACCATTAGACACCTCCTCTCCTTTGATGCCACAAAAACTCTCGTCTCTTCACTCATTCTTTCAAAATTTGACTACTGTAACATTCTTCTCGCAGGCATTCCTCAACACCACATAGACAAACTTCAGAAGGCACAGAACTCAGCATGCAGACTCATTTTTAAATTAAAGAAACATGACCACATTCAACCACACATGCGGCAACTCCACTGGCTTCCAATATCCTCTCGCATCAAATACAAGTCTGCCAATCTTTGCTTCAACTCGTTCACTGACCCTCACTTTCCTGTCTATCTCTCTGAACTGTTGCTTCCTTACATCCCCACAAGACAACTACGTTCTTCCATTGACAGTAGAACCCTCTCAATCCCAAGAACTAAAACTAAGACCATCGGTGAACGCTCCTTCTGCTTCCATGGGCCCACGTTCTGGAACCAGCTCCCCTTCCATATACGTCATAGTGAAACCTCGTCCATTTTCAAAAAGTCCCTTAAAACTCATCTGTTTAGGTCCGCCTATGACCTGTGATGCACCCTCCTTGCCCTACCTCATTTTCTGTTTCGGGTTGATCCTGAAGTGTCAAAGTGTCCTCGTTTTATAGCCATTTTCATTGTTTCTATAGAATAGTAGTTACTATCCTAGTGTCTCATTTTTATTTTACTTAGTTCACATGTTTTAATAATTGTAAAGCGCTTAGAGCTTTATGATAAGCGCTATATAAAAATGCCTAAATAAATAAATAAATAATAAGTCAATGTTGTTGTTTATTTATTTATTTGTTCAGCATAACATATTTCATAGGTGCTGGTACTGCATTACTGGGTAAGGAAGCAGCAATGGCTTGCACAGTGGCTGTAGAGGATGTCATAGGTGATCATTATAACAGTCAGATACGAGAACTTGTTGAAGACAATCCTGAAAAGCACAAGGCTCTTTTGGAGGTAAAATTTGTATAATTTTAATCTTGTGAACCAAAATTCTATTATTTGAGCTTGAAAAGCTGCATATCAATGACTCATTGATTGGTATTACAAATTGTTTCCAAGACTGCTGTCTTTTCAAAATAATTGTTTCAGTTTCAGCATGTATAAGCACCAGCAATAATAAGTCATTTCATTAAAAATAAACATTAATTCAGCTTTGCAAGAAAGTGACCTTTTGGAATAAAGATTCTATGTGAAAAATGTATTTTTAAATTACCGGTATGTTCATTAAGACTTGTAATGCAAAATAGTCATTTTTTTTTAAAAGTGTTAATTTATGTTTATATAAATCTGTTTTGTTATAAACTACTCTAGTGACTTTTCCACCCAACCACCAATTGAATTACCCTATTTAAAAAAGTTTAATGGATTTCATTCTGATTATATACTTGTAGACGGTGAAAAAATTCAGAGATGATGAACTACACCATCATGACACTGGCTTACAACATGATGCAGAAAAAGTTAGAGAACCAATTCACTTTCTTTTTCCCTTCTAAACATACATAGTTAAACTGTAGAAGAGAAGATATTATGCTTATCAGTTAATTATCTTTTGACACAGCTATTATTAATAAATTATATCTGGTTAAAATAAGGATACAAAAATATTTAAAAAAGCATGTCAATTAATTTTTATATAAATTGAATATTGTTTGAGAATTGAAAATTTAATCTTGTGTTTCTTCATCCAGGCTCCATTTTACAATGTTTTGTCTCAAGCTATCAAGATAGGATGCAAAGGTGCAATATGGGTATCAGAAAGGATATGATATATTCCTATATCATTTTTTTTTAAAGAATATTCATCTGTTTTAAAAGAATATATTTGCAAAGAACATACATTTTAAAGAATTTTTGTTTGGAGAGTATTTAATGATTTTATTACAAATAAATCATTAACTCAACAAGTTGTTTCCCCTCATATTTATTTGTTGTGAATAAAAAATGAAAGATTTTTCAATTGTACACCTTGCAGAAAAAGAATATCTATGTAAAAAAAAAATAACAAAATAACAAAATTTTGTGAAAGCAGTTTTATGAAGCTGACTTAAAATCAAAAAGAGAAAAACTTTTTGAAACAACACTCAGATTTCCAGAAATCTCATTACGTTTACATTAAAAACATTCACATTTTCCTCAACTTTCAGGAAAATAAAACTATTTCCAAATTTTATTTGTCATGACATTTCATATTTAAGTTATAAGTTATTATTTTATGGAAGAAAAAAAAAATTTGAACTCTACTTGATAAAATATCACACCTTTGAAAGGAACAACATGTATAGTAACTACAGAACATAAAGAATGATGCATGAAAGCAGTTATAAAATCCAATAATCATTGTAAAGTATAGATAAATTTATTAAAATGATTTATTACAAAATAAAAATGAATGGGCACAACAATACAGATACTGGTAGGAAATTATATTTGTATCCTAAAAATATTTAATATTTTATCTTCTTTTCTCACTCAAGAAAAAATTTCCCTTTAAAACACATTCACATTTTCATTATGTTATTATTCTATAATTAGAAAAATGTAACTGTTATCCATGTTGTTTTGATAATACTAGTTTATTCCCACTGAAAGACCACTGTTGGGTATAACTGAAACAGCAAAACTCATTACATGTTTTATTGTTTGAACTAAAATATGACAACATAATTTTAAAGTAACAGACATTGATATATATCCGCATTCAATAGGCATTTCAATTTGAATAATTATCACATTATGTCTTTTTATTACAATGCTCAGCAATAAACAAGTTAGGTCATTTTGGTGCTCAAATTTGTTAATCTTTATTACCCATTAATGTTAACTACAGAACATATTTATTTTTTACATACCAAATGAAAAGAACAAAATAAGGTTATCATTGTTAAAAGCTAATATTGAATTTATTTTATATTTTATGGTGGTTTGAAATGGCATTGGTTAAGGCAAGTGTCTGAAAACTTTTTAGAGTAAATTATATTGGCTAAGAAAATATTTTGGGGAGCTGTAGATGAGGCGGACAGTTTAAATTTTAAGATTCAAATCATAAATATGTTATTGTCATGTCTCTTGACCTGCTTCTTCCAGAGACTTTGGTTACCTTGTGTGCAACGGACCACATTGATAATGCAGTGAAATTTAGAAACAAATATTTACAATGTTACCTTTATATCAATAAAGCATAAAAAAAATCAAAGAGCATGAAATCTATGTGGCTAAATTTGACATTTCTAGAGGAATGGTTTAGCTTCTGTAAAATCTAGTAAAAAGATCAGATAATTGATATTACTTTGTACCAGCCAATTTCTTGCACATAATTATCTTTAACATTTGGAAATACTTCAGGTTCTTCTTTAAGAATGGAAGCAAAATGAATTAAAAAACAAGTATTAAATCATAATGTCAATCCAATATTGTTGAAAACGTTTGAGAACAGCTCTTATAGACTAGTGATAGATATTTTTATTTTCTCTAAGTATTTTGTACAATAAAAATTTTGTATCATACATGTGTATTATTTTTAAAAATCTAATAATATTAATGAAACTACTAATTCGAAAAAGAAATAAAAAATAATTCATTTAGTGTATGCTTAGGAAATGTGAACTTTTTCTTCAGGATTTTTAAAGTCTGAACATGCCTTAGGGCCACAGATTAAATATCAGCAGTTATTAATGGTGATTGGAATGTTTGTTAATGATCATTTAGTGCTATTTTACAATTAATGCGTTCAGACTTAATAAAAGTGTTTTTTTTAAAAATGTAATGCATAAAACAAAGCTTTACAACAAAGTAAGTTTAAATGCTGTCAATCTTTGAAAATAAGCTTAGCAGGGTGCATTCAGTCATTTACTAACATATCAAGATGTAAGTGTAAGTTTAATAGTGTCCCCACATATTAAATAGGTTCTCAAACAATTTTCCATGAGGGCACACTTTAAGTTGACATCTACTTGTGTCTCACTTAAAGTGGCAATTAACAAAATGAAATTCATGCCCAACTTTTACTACAAATGATAATGGCAATTCCCAAACAAGCTCTTCTCACTGAACTGTACTTTCCTTTATTAATTACAACCATTCATAAAATTATGATAGATAAACTGATTTCAGTTCTTTTATTGATCATACAATTTCTACTAAAAGTATACACCATTAAGACACATCATCTACACAATTCACTGCCATAGGAGACATCCTCATAGATGCTCAGTGCCTTTTATTGTTTCAGCCTTACTGTGTATAAATTTATGTTCAAAGACAAGTTATAGTTTAATTATCTTGAACACTTGATGGTTTTACAATGAGCTTCTTTTTCAATTGAAAATGAAATATAAATTATATATTGAACAGCTGCTACAGAAACAGAGATAAAATTCTGTTGGTTGTTTAAAACAAAATCAATGAAGTCTGCAGATTGGCCTTTCTTTTCTTTTAACACATGAAATTGAAAAAGAAAATGTTGGTGCTTTTTTTAAACTATGCATAATACTGACATGTCAATAGTAATAAGAAAAACAAATTAAATTTATTAAATTCTGTTCACTATGGTACATAAAGTTATTTTCATGCACAACATTGTGACCACGAAAACATTTCAAAATAATAAATTGCAGTCATTGCTATGAAAACATATACATCAACAGGCTAGGTACATAGCTATGGCAAGCAGTGTTCATCAACACCTAGTACAATTTCATAGAGCTGTCTAAAGAAACAAATGTCAAGGTGGTGCAATATAACCAGCAGTGGCTAAAAAGCATTGTTTGAAGCAGAGACAGTTGATTGGTAGCGGTATTAGGAATTCTACATCTCAAAAGATTTATCTTTGGTTTAAAACTGGTGGTAAGGCATCAATATTATTAATTATTAAAATAAGTATTCTGAAACAAATTAAACCCCCCATGTCACTAATGATAAAATTTCAAACAAGACAGAATCTAAAAATATGAAGTATTAATAACTTTCTTGTGCTGTGTTGGGAGAGAAACGTTTTGTTAATCATTGGTCTATAAAACTTTATACAAATGGCCTCTAGAGCACAGTTTCCCAATCTGCTCTATAGTCAGCATCCCTTACAAATTGTTTGAATAAGTCTCATACACCCATCAGAGAATGCATTTCAAAATTAGAAGAAAAAAAATATATTTAAGGGGTTTTTTTTTTTTAGAATTACAAATAGAATTGTAGAGAATAAAACTGTGACTTATTGCATAAAGTAAGATGTATTTAAACATTTATAAAATAACATAAAAGTCTATGACTTCTCTTTTTTTATAAATCATCTTTCCTAGCATCCCCTGAAATGCAATCTTGCATCCACTAAGAGGATGGGAAAGTCACCTCTAGAATATATATATTCCAATAGTTTTAAATATAAAGTTTTTAGTTTGAAGCATTAGTAGTTTCAAAAATGGTATGAAAGATGTGCATTTAGTAAATAGAAAGTTTTACATTAAAATGCTATTTACATCTTTTTATTTTAAAATATAATATCTTTTAGAGCAGGTAAGAAATAGTAGTTTACTTTCCACAATAATAATGACAAAATACAACAAACAAAAATACATCTTTTAAAAATGTCCTTCCACAAAAAGCTTTAAGAAAAATATTCTTGAATTGACCAGAAACAAAATAAATATATAATTCCCTTTAAATATATGTCTATACAACTACTTCCAGCTTTTATAACTGAAACTTTTATATGAATGAAAGATAAGAAACAGCAGCATCTACTGAGGAACTTTATTTACTTTGCCCAATTTAACCACTGGAACCAAATTTTATAAAACATATATCATGACATACATTTTTATCTTGATGCAGGAATGCGGGTTAGGTCAACATTTATGTTGGAGCTCCAAAATGCTACGACTGCTTATGATCATTTATTACTTAAAGAGAAAAAACTCAGAATTGATAGTTATTACATTCAGAAAAACGTCCCCTCTAATGTACAATTTTACCACAGTGAGTTTGTTTAAAAACAAAAGATTTGAGTCCTCTCTTTTAACCAGTCTTGATCTGTGCGGTAGTTTTCATATGTTCCAAAATCTTCCTTTCCTTTTCTTCTTTTTTTCTATTTCTTTCTTCATACTCCAACCTGGGGAATAGTCACCTTTGAAGATTTATAAAGTAGACGGTGTGATGTAGCTCTGAATATTTACAAAACAAAAGGCCTTCACTTAAATGCACACAACTAAAAGATAAAAAAACGGCAAATAATTTGAAAATACTTAAGAAAATAAGAGGCAAAAAAATTAACATAAATGTGTGAATGAAAAAGTGTTAAAACATATGCCTTCTTTTTCATTTACTTCATTTTATTAAATTACAGTTTGAAGCTTAACCATGTATAATGAGAGAAAATTTTGGGCTCATTGGACTGGTTGTCTATGCATAGAGTTCATATCTTTAAACACTTATATTTGACAAATTTGAAAGTGTGCCCATTTCACGTCCAAGCGTTTCATCCATTTCAACCAATGAGCAGCAGCTCTCAAGTACATCCATACAAACCTATGTTTTATGATCCTCTCAATAATCATTTGTGTTGTCAAGTTGTTTTTGCTGTCAACATTGATAAACTTGTCCCGTCTTTTAGGTTCCTGTAAAGAGAAATGCAATTGAATATTATTTTTAAACTTAAACCTAAAACTATTCCTTACAAAATGTGTCCTTCAGACATGCCATTGATAAACTATCCTTTGTTTGCTACTAAACATGTTATGGTACAAGTAGTATGAAGAAGGCAATGCTAAGAATCAAACTCAAACTTTCATTGTCAATGAGAAGTGTATAAGAAAGTAACTGATTTAATATGACTTACAGCATAAGGATCAGCTCCATCAATATCAGGCATAACAGGGGTCATACCATGACATACAACATCCACTTTAAAATGATCCATCAAGTCTG